AAAAAAATGAATTTAAGCTCTGATCTACAGTCACCTGTCCGTGCACACAGGCTGCAACCGATCAGCTTTTACCTTCAGCAGATGTTGGTTTCACCCAGCTTCAAGCTCTGAGATCAGGATGAAGACCTCTGGACGTCTTCTTCTGTACAGATAAACAGCCTTATAAGGAGTACCTTGTCATAGTCAGCAAAGTTTAACAATGACAATTGAAACTATGTTGTCATACAAAAGTGACCATCAGCCTAACGACCAATTAGTACTCCAATCACTGCTTACACAGGCCAAAGTCTTGATCAGATCATTCTAGATTTAATTGTTTTTGTATCACCTGATTCAGATTGATACCTCTTTCTTGTGACTGTTCAGGCAGTCTCCTGCTCCACCCTTCAGTTGATCCATGAGGGAACATTACCACTTTATCACACTTTCCTAGTTTAAATGTTCTAATAAATAAGAGTAATAAATTTATCTGCAAAGGTTCAGGAAACACAGGGAAGGATATACTTTAAATCATTAAACATGTAAACGGAAATGTATATAGTTCATGTCAGTTGATCTTTTTCTGCATTATATTGTGCAACAGCATCAGCATCATCCTCTACTGAGAAAACAGATGAATAAACTCATCTAAAAGGTTTATTGGCTGATTATGTAATGGGACGTTAACAGAACCTTTTCCACACATGCTACCCACCTTAAAACTGGTGACAGTATGACAGTCACAGAGTTAATCACAAAGTAGTGAGCATAGCATATTTCCAGAGAGCTAGTGAAGAATAAGTCAAAGTGTTTCAGTTCTTGACCTACCTTTGGTGAGCACACATTTAGGATAAATGTTTCCATGACAGGTAAACACTCAGGGGTTAAGTAACTGCTCTTCTGCTGGTCATGTGATTAGTATATGAGATTCACCTGTGTGATTGCACACAGGAGCAGGAAGAGCAGTCTATGCACTGACATAAATCAGGGGAGAGGTTTGACATGTGTGTACTTAAAAGAATCTAAATTTATATTTTTTTAATGATAATATATTACACAATTCCCCCCCACAAGTAATTACTGTGAAGTCCATGGCTTTTTGTAACTTGTTGCAGCTCTGCTCCTGTTTTATCCTGAGGTCTGATTGTCTTTAGACATCTCACTATAAAAGTCTGTTATACTGTCAAAATAAAAAGGATAAACAGTGAACATTTTCTAAACCTCTAAAAAGACACAAAACATCAAGGACTGTAGCTTCCGAATGGATTTTAAGTTTCTTTGGAATATTTTTGCAGCATATTTGACTTTTTAAAAAGCAATTTCATTTTAGAAAAACAAAAGTATCTATGAATAAACATCATCTTACAGTTTTCTATTATTATGATACAATTTTTTGAATATAAAGAATATATTTTCCAAAGGTAAAAGTCAATTCAATTCAGTTTATTAATATAGTGCCATAGTACAGTTCACCACCTCATACAGACGAATTGAGTCAAAGTTTTCTATCTAAGGAAAAGCAGTTGATTGCATCGACTCATTGAGTCGGAGGCAATCCCTCACACTAACTATGCTTGTAGCGACAGTGGAGAGGAAGCAGCAGAACCAGGCTCAGTGTGAGCGGCCATCTGGGGATCGAGGCCGACTGGGGTTCAAGGAGACAGAAGCAGAAATACAAAAGGCAATTGTAAAAGTCAGCCCGGTCCAGGAAACACACAGCCAGGCAGACGAGCTCTGAGCCAGCTCCTATGTCAGAGGATGAAGAGAGAACATCCAGACAGTCTGTTCCTGTCACTTAGTGCTGCTTCTCTGCTGCAGATTAGGTTTCATGTAAACAAACTCTTCTTCAACACTAGAGGGCACCATCAACAATGTGAAAGAAATTCAGAGAAGTTCCACAACTCAGTCTAAATATGCTGAAGACTTTGAATTAAAATTTGTTTGGCTTTTTAAAATGCAATAAAGAGGAAGAAATGTGTAACTAAGCTTCATATGGTGACCAACAAGTATCCTTTCCTCTTTTCTTTGTTTATAAAACTAAGTTAGTCTGTAAATAAAGCAATACACAATGTGAATCAAAGTGCCACTTTGATGAGATCCGTACATATTTTGATCTAAACATAAAAAAGCTTAAAGTTTACATCATATTTACTTTTTTAATCCTCATTTTGTTAATTTTTTTTGTGTTATTTATGTGGCTAAATTGGTTTAGCTTTATGATAACTTTTAAGCCATAAAAGCTCCAGCTCATTAAAAAACATTAGGTTCAATGCTCCTTGACTTTAAAAACGGAAACAAATTATAACTCAGAGAATTTAGAATATTATAAGGTTTTTGTCTGTGTCAGTGTTCATTAAAAAGGTTTGCATTAATTTCTCCAGTTTTTGTGCATACCAAATATAAATGATATGACTATATTATCTCTTAACATATATTTTGTTTCATTATAGCTGATCGGAACTAGACAAACGCAGGAGTGGGACAAAAATATATTCTTATTTAAACCATAAATGATGTTCAAATTAATCCCTTGAAATCCAGTATTTTTAATTTGTATATGACTTTCTTAAACATAACTAAAAAGTGCTTTAAACTGATATTTGACCCATAACTACATGAATCTAACATCAATAGTGTCAGCAGCAATTACAGCTGAAGTTAAGTTTAACTTAAATTACTAAACCTTTTAAAAATTTAGATTAATAGAACTACTGAAATCTATTGAAATGTTGAAAAATCAGTTTAGTAATATACAATTTTAAATGCTCTATAAATACTATTGTAGTAAATCTGTGGTGGTATTTGCAATCTAGAGACATTACTTTGTATAAATGTCAACAATTTGCAAAAAGTCAGATTTTCGGATGTCATTTCTAATGTCAGAATGTCATTTTTAGTTTTGCTATTTTCTTGTAAAATGTTATTTAAAAAGGTTCAATCTGCACATACACCTCAGGATATGATGGACCAAATGTGTCCCAATTCTATTTAATATGCCATGTTGCATTCTGTATTTCAGTATCCAATGTTTCCTGTAGATCTACCACCTCACCATCTACTACTGAGGCCAGTAGCATGAAGCAAACTCATCTTTGTGTTGTGCTGCCATTACAGTGCAGTTAGGAAACAGGTAAGAGATTTCCCTGTGCAACCAAACACATTTAGTTTCTGCAGTGGCATTGACTCTTATTTCATGATTTGATATTGTGCAGAAATTAGATTTTAGAGATTTGGTTACCGGTACACAATCAGTTGTTCTGAACATGAAACCGTTGTAAAGACAGTAAAAATTTCTATTTTTTTTTTACTTAAGAACACTCCTCTTCCAAGAATCAAAGACTAAAGGCTGGGCGGGACCACCTGGTAAAGGTGGTTCCACCCAGCCTTTCTATGCTGATGTGTCATAAGTAGATCAGAGCTAAAAACCTGTTTCTTTGTTCAAAAAGTGCACTTACACAGTTGTTGCAACTGACAGAAGAAAGGGAGCCAAATCAGCTGGACTTAAAAACGTCTGCTATTCGATTTATCAAGAGATCTATCTGCTAAAGAATCTGGTAACTACATCCTGCGGACATAGATACTGAATACAAGATATAAAAAGACACCAGGTTACAGAGGATCATAAAGGAATCAAAAGCTCTCGCTACAGGAAAACGTTTATACGGAGGCCTCACCTGAAGAAGAACATGTTCACTGCTCTAGTAAGGCGTCTAATGAAGACTGGAAACCAAGCTGCTCCTACTGATCACTGCTTTGCTGGACCTGAAGATGTGGCCTGTGATTTCTGCACTGGAAGAAAACTGAAAGCCATCAAGTCCTGTTTAGTCTGTCTGGCCTCTTACTGTGAGAAACACCTTCAGCCTCATTATGATTCAGCTACATTTAAGAAACACAAGCTGGTGGAGCCCTCCAAGAACCTCCAGGTGAACATCTGCTCTGATCATGCTAAGGTGATGAAGGTATTTTGTCGTACTGATCAGAAGTGTATCTGTTATCTCTGCTGTTTGGATGACATAAAGACCATGACACAGTGTCAGCTAAAGAAGAAAGGACTGAGAGGCAGAGAGAGCTGGAGGAGAGACAAGGAAAAATCCAGCAGAGAATCCAGGACAGAGAGAAAGATGTGAAGCTGCTTCAACAGGAGGTGGAGGCCATCAATCACTCTGCTGATAAAACAGTGGAGGACAGTGAGAAGATCTTTACTGAGCTGATCCGCCTGATCAAGAAAAGACGCACTAAAATTAAGAAGAAGATCAGATCCCAGCAGGAAACTGAAGTGAGTCGAGTCAAAGAGCTTCAGGAGAAGCTGGAACAGGAGATCACTGAGCTGAAGAAGAAAGAAGCTGAGCTGAAGCAGCTCTTAAACACAGAGGATCACAACCAGTTTCTCCACAGCTACCCCTCACTGTCAGCACTCAGTGAGTCTACACACTCATCCAGCATCAATATCCGTCCTCTGAGACACTTTGAGGATGTGACAGCAGCTGTGTCAGAGCTCAGAGACAACCTACAGGACATTATGAGAGACACATGGACAAATGCCTCCCACATGTCCACATGTTCGCGAGAACCAAGTGTCAATCATCTGACACTAGCTGAGATGCATTTTTTACTCCAAGAAGTAGAACCCACGAGCAGATTTGAATTCCTTAAATATTCACACACAATTACATTGGATCAAAACACAGCACACACACTACTGCTGCTATCTGAGAGGAACAGGAAGGTGACAGTGACTGATCAACATCAGTCTTATTCTACTCACCCGGACAGATTTACTACTTATTCTCAGGTTCTGAGTACAGAAAGTCTGGCTGGACGTTGCTATTGGGAGGTGGAGTGGAAAGGAAGAGTTCGTCTAGCAGTTGCGTACAAGAATATCACCAGAGCAAAATGGGGTAATGAGAGTAAATTTGGATATAATAACAAATCTTGGGCTTTAGAATGTTCCTATGATGTTTCTAAATTTGGTCATGACAACATTTGGACCTCTATCTCAACTCCTCATACCTCCAGAATAGGAGTGTACCTGGATCACTCAGCAGGGATTCTATCCTTCTACAGCGTCTCTGAAACCATGACTCTCCTCCACAGAGTCCAGACCACATTCACTCAGCCGCTATATGCTGGACTTTATGTTGAGTTATTCTCTAATGCAGAGTTCTGTGAACTTTAATAGTTCTTTTTTTTCTTTCTGGTTGTTAATCAGGATTTATTTTTCTGTTTCTCTGCTCTGTTGTTCTGTTTTGTTTATTTATTTTTATGTAACACACTGTGTCTGTCATTCAGAAGACATAACATTTTTCTTAATTTTTATATGACATGGGAATATTCTCCCCAAATGTGTAGCCATGTTTTTTTCAACTTTGTGGGGGATATTATCCTAAATATGCCACATTTTAGGGTCATTAAGATAGATTCTTGCCTTAGGTTGTAGGTTATGAGCAAAGTGTGTAGAGTTTAGGTTAGGTTTAGGGTTGGTTATATGTTGATAATGTTTAGGCTTAGGTTAAAGGTCAGGGTTAGCCCACAGAAATTGAGTATAAATTAAACTTGAGAAAGGGTATTCCTGAAATTAGATCTTCAAAAAGAAATCAGAAAGCTCTCTCTATGAACTCAGTCTACTCTCATCACAGGTTTAATATCTTTTTTGGAAAGTATTAAACACAAAATTCCTAGAATTTACTTCACATTCTAAACATTAAGGGACTCTGGATTACAGACAGAAGAATCTGATGTTGCTGTAAAACAAATGTCAGTAGCCAAATTACTTGGTCAAGATGGTTTGACTTTCAATTTTCATACTTTTTTTTCCTTGGATGAATTTAAAGAGCTATTAATTAAAACCTTAGAAGAATGTATTGAAAATAAGAATGTAATGCCAACTATGAAACTACATTATTACCCAAACCAGGAAAAGAAAGATAAGATAAAAGATTAAAGATAAAAGATATATTGATGATCCATAGCGCACATAGGAAACTAAAACAGCCTTTATTTAATTAGATTAACCCCAGATTGAAGTTAAATGCTGAAACTCTGGTCTTCAGCACAGTTTCAGCCATAGAGTATTAGATAAGAGTATTTCTCAAGGTAAAATTGAGAATGGGTTTGGCATTTACTGTGTAAAGGGAAAATGATTTTTAGTGGTAAATAAAGTAATCTGTGATCTGGACTTAACTGTCTTAAGCCTCATTTTTCACAAATTGTAGCGTCTTAATTTTAATCGCTGAGTAATGTTGAAGTCATTCCTGTTTCTATTAAAATGTCTTTCATTTCTTAATTTAAAGTTTAATTCACAGTCAGTTTCTCTGACTGTGAACATATGTTACTCCAACATTACTAAATAAATTTAATTCCAACACACATCGTGGATGTGTGTTTCCTGGACGGGGCTGCCTGGGGAGCTGGTTGACAGTTACCTTTTGTATCTCTGCTTATTTCTGTATCTCTGCTTCTGTCTCCTTAAACCCCAGTCGGCCTTGGTAGAAGGTCACTCACACTGAGCCTGGTTCTGTTGGAGGTCTATTCCTGTTAAAAGGGAGTTTTTCCCTTTTAAAGCAATCAACTGGTTTTCCTTAGATAGAAAACTTGGAATCCCTTTAACTGTATAATCTGGTTGAATTGTCTCTGTAAAGTGCCTTGAGATGACATGTGTTGTTTCTCAAAAATCTGTTTATTGTCTTTTACAATTCAAAGAGACATACAGACAAATAACTCACAAGTGCACAAAACACCTAACAAACCTAAAAAAACAAAAAAAACAAAACACATTAACCACTTAAACATTCAAGGTGACCAACATTAGATGAATACAGTGAGACAAAATATTTTAAGATTGACATCTCAGGGGACTATGTTGAGACTTAGTCCAAGAGATTTAATCACAGTCCACAGGCTAGATATGGGGTGAAGGCAATGTCCTCCCTGGTTCTTTGCATCCCGACGTCAGTGTTTAAGTGTCATACATTTTTGAGCAAGTGAGTACATTTGGAATTAACATGAAGATAACAGATTTACAGCCACTATAAGAATGAATACAAAGTCAAAATTAGCTAGAGAGCGTTTAGTCAGTCCTCATTGTGAGTATTTAAATTTTTCAAGAATAGCAAAAAATTTTTCCATATCTTTTGGAACACATTGTATTTACCTTTAATCATAAAGGTGAGTTTCTCCAAGGCAAGAGAGCTTGATAATGTAGACAACCAAGTTTTTAGCTGGGGTCTGGTTATAGATTTCCAGGACCTGGCTATACTATATTTAGCCTGCACCAAACAATAAATTATGGACTTTTGATCGACCTTGCTTATTTGAGTTTGAGTGGGGAAAATTCCTAAGACACACAACCTAGGACACAGATTGAGATCAATGCCAATGATAAGTGAAAGTTTATCCAAAACCTCCTTCCAAAATTTCTGAATCTCAGGACATTCCTAAAGGCAATGAATCAAACTGCCTTTATCTCCACACTTAGCACATGTATCCGGGATGTTGGAATTAAATTTATTTAGTAATGTTGGAGTAACATATGTTCTCATCATCCATTTGTATTGGATTAACTTAAATTGTGTATTAATAGATTGTGTCTGTGCCTTTAGACAGGCCCTCTGCCATTCCTCTACTGATATGTTGCATTTCAAGTCTTCACACCAAGCCAGTCGTTTGTGCTCTGAGGATGTCTGGGAGCTGTCTTTGAGGATGTTATAAAAGCGGGATATTAGGCCCTTCTTCAAATGGTCATTTGTTGCCAGTTCTTCTATAGAAGTAAGAGTAGGCAAAGTTAGAGACTTTAGATTACCCAAGACGAAACTTCTGATTTGCAGAAACTTAAAAAAATGTTTAGTTGGAATGTCAAATTTTTGTTTCAAATCTTCAAACCTCATCATAATCCCATTATCAAATAAATCTGAGATTTTGCACACACCTTTAGCAAACCATGTTTTAAAGCCCACGTCTTTCCTACCTGGTTCAAATGACATATTGCCCCAGATCGGGGAGAATTGGGATAGTATTGGTATTTCATTTTTGAATTTATGTACATCATACCATACTCGGATAGTATTTTTAACAAATGGGTTGGAAGTATTTTTTAATAAGTCTTTGCATTTCCTTGAGTATAGATATGAATTTAGGGTTAAAGGAGTGGTATTTATATTTTCTAATTTTACCCACGACATATCAGTTGCTGAAAACCAGCAAGAAGCACTAGAGAGCTGAGCAGCCCAATAATACCACTTGAAATTTGGCACACCCAGGCCACCTCTGTCCTATGGAAGATATAGTAAGGATAACCGTAATCGGGCTCGTCTGTTGTTCCAAATGAAGTTATTTAGGATTGTTTGAATTTTTGTAAAAAAAACCGTCAGGAGGGTTAAGGGGGATAGCCTGGAAAAGATATAAGAATTTAGGGAGAACGTTCATTTTGAGAATATTTATACGGCCAATCATAGATATAGGCAAGGTAGACCATCTATCAAGCGATTCCATCATTGAATTAACCACCGGCGTGTAATTTGCCCGAACCAGATCATCTATATCTGGAGTAATCTTTATGCCTAAGTAAGTAAGGCTATCTTTTGCTACCTGAAATGTTGTATGAATTGGAGAGTGATTTCTTTCAGCCTGTTTTAAAAATAGGATGGCGGATTTAGATTCATTAAGTTTATAACCGGAAAGATAAGTAAACTCATTGATAGTTTTAAGAAGTTGGGGGGTTGAGCAATTTAGATTGGATAACATTAAAATAATATCATCGGCAAATAGTCCAATTTTAGATTCAATATTTTTTATCCTGACGCCATGTATGTTTTGATTATTCCTTATGGCAATAGCCAATGGCTCAATTCCCAACACAAAGAGGAGGGGCGAGAGGGGACAACCTTGACGTGTGCCCCTACCAAGATTAAATGATTTAGATACAATGTTATTAGTTATAACTGAGGCAGAGGGTTTATTATAAAGTATTTTAATCCAGTTTATGAAATAACTACCAAAAATCAAATTGAGAGAGAACTTTGTAGAGATAACTATGTTCCACTCTGTTGAATGCTTTTTCTGCATCAAGTGAAAGCAAAGCTGTATCCGAGTGCTCATATTTAGCATGAATTATATTCAGCACACGACGGATGCCGTGGTGAGCTTACCGCCCTTTTATAAATCCATTCTGATCAGGGTCAGAGAGGGATGGTAAAAATTTCTCAAGCCTAATTGCTAGAACTTTAGATATTATTTTGGCATCTGAGTTTATAAGTGAGATTGGTCGGAAGGATTCGCATCTAGTGGGAGATTTCCCCGGTTTAGGTAGAACTGTTATGATTGCATTACGTAGGGAAGGAGGCAATTCTTTAATGGTATAACTTTCCAGTAGCATGTTATAGAGGGGCTGCAATAATTTGTTTTTAAATATTTTATATAGGTCCAAAGGAATCCCATCTGGACCAGGGGATTTTCCTGATTTTAGTTTGTCTATTGCATTTGAGAGTTCACCTGTAGAAATTGGCATATCCAGATCCGATTTAGCTATTTCACTAAGTGTGGGGATGTTTACAGAATTAAGAAGGGAGTCAAGTGATGCTTGTGGAATGTCCCCTTTAGAAGTATATAATTTTGAGTAATAATCTTTAAAGAAATCATTTATTTTTTGAGGATCAGTCGTATTTTCATTTTCATATAAAATTTCATTTATTGCCCTCTCATTCTGCAAAGCTTTAATGCGCCACGCTAGGAGTTTTCCAGCCTTCTCTCCCTGATCATAGTAGGATTGTTTCAGTCTGAACATCTCTGATGAAGCTTTGTTAGTGGATAGTTTGTCATATTTTGCTCTCAGTATTAGCAGTTCTTGTTGCTTTTTTTTAGAGCCCTTTAGATTTAACTCAAGCTCAGTCTCTTTTATTTGTTCTTCAAGTTTTAGCATTTCCATAACAGTTTTGTTGGTTTTATTTTTTGTGTAGCTTATCATCTGACCCCGTATAAAAGCCTTAAAGGCTTCCCATCTAGTAGATGCTGTAGTCTCAGATTTATTAAGGCTGAAGTAATCATCAATATTTATCTCAATAAATTTCAGAAATTTGGGCATTTGCAACCAGTGGGGTTTTAATCGCCAAATAAGATTACGATTAAACGCAATTATGGGCGAAAATTTAAGCATGCATAGTGAGTGGTCGGAGATCAATCTGCTTTTGTAGACACAACTCTTAGTTCTGGTAATCAAGGAATTTGAAATTAGGAAGTAATCTATACGGCTATAGCTATTATGGGTGGTTGAGTGGCAAGAAAATTCTTTCTTTGTTGGATTCTGTACTCTCCAGATATCTCTTAAGTTTAATTCAGACATAAAATGTTGAATAACCCGTCTACTTTTAGGGTGGGACAGATCCAAACCTGATGATCGGTCAAGCTTCGGATCTAAAGTACAATTAAAATCACCACCAATGATCACATCACCATGAAAAGCTGTAATAGAGAGAAACAAATTATTGTAGAAATCAGGGTCATCTATATTAGGACCATACAGGTTAACCAAAATTAAGTTTTGGTTCATCAGTGATGCTTGGATTATTATGAATCTCCCAGCAGGGTCTATGATAGTCTTTTTTATACAAACAGGTAAAGATTTATGAATAAGAATTGCCACGCCCCTAGAGTGTGGAGAAAATGAGCTAGAAAATATTTGACCAGGCCATCTTCTTCTTAGTCGTGCAACTTCGCTTGTAAGCAAGTGTGTTTCTTGGATAAAAAACACTTTTGGATGGAATTGTTTAAGTCTATTCATTACTTTTTTTAGTTTGATCAATTTTCTAAGGCCTCTTACATTCCAGGAGATCACATCAACAACGGCCTCAGTACTCATTTGTTTAATGTCAATATATCATCTCTTTTTGTTTTTTGTCTCAACTGTAGGAACCTGCATTTTACAACCTGAAGAACATTGCACCTTGAGAAGATTGAACATTTATAAACACAAAAGACTTTCCTGAGATTTCCCACCAGTGGGAATCTACCTCTCCCTTTCCCCTCTATTCTGTGACTTGGCTATGCTACTGATCCTAAAAAAACAGGAGCAGAAAAAACGTCTGCCTAAACAACTC